TTCATTAAAAAAAAAAAAAACAAAAAAAAAAAAAAAAAAAAAAAAAAACAAAAGTCTTGTGCTGGGGATTTAGCTCAGTGGTTCTGCTATCTGCCTTGCAAGCGCAAGGACCCAAGTTTGATCCCTGGTACCAAAACAAAACAACAACAACAACAACAACAAAAATAGAAAAATCTTGTTTCCCCATTTGTGATAAGGCAGTGATGGCAAATGTTTTAGAGCTTTCAGTGATAAAACATTGCACTGTGGCGCACGTGTCATAGATTTGCCACTACTAACACAAGGTTTGTGTTGTTATAAAGGCTGTAACAAGAAATGTCTGTAATTCTGACTCTTTTTTAACTCTGCAAATTTAGAGATTATCAATTATAGCAAAAAAAAAAATTTTTTTTTTTTTTTTTTTGTACTGGGGATCAAGCTCAGGACCTTATGCTTGAGGCAGGTAGCAGAACCACAGAGCTAAATCCCCAGCCCTTTTTCGGTTTTTTGAGGCAGGGTCTCACTGTGTAGCTCAGGCTCTTCTCAAACTCACTGCCCAGGCTGGCCTGAAACTCGAGGCAATCCTTCTCCCGCCTCACCCTCCCAAGTGCTGAGATTATAGACATGTGCCGTCATGCCTAGCTCCCCTTGTTTGTTTTAAACACTGATACTGTACCTCTCCCAGTATCTGTTTATGTCCTTGGCCTATTATTTTTTTCCTGTTTGATTTCCTGTTTTGTTGATTTGCAGGAATTTTTGTGTAATCTTTTGGTTCTAATTTTGTTTCTTTGCAAGTATCTCTTCTCAGTCCACCATCTGTACGTTAACACTTTTTGAGATGCCATTAAGGTAGCAGATGTCTTAAATTTTGGGGGAGTTGTTATTGCTTTTTGTAGTACTGGAGATCAAAACCAAGACCTTGTGCAGGCCAGGCAAGCACTGTAGCACTTGGCCATATCTCAACATGCATCCTAATTTTGTGGCACTGCAAGGAAAGTATAATCTATAGTTCTCCCTTCTTTGTTTTGGGTTGTTTGTGTGTTTGGTACCGGGGATCAAACTTGGGACCTTGCACGTGGGAAGCGGGTGGCGGAACCATTGAGCTAAATCCCTGTCCCTTGCGTCCTAATTTTGACTTTATGGTTTGGAATCTTGTTTTAACATCTTTATTTACCCATAGGTATTACAGATTTTCCTATTTTTACATTCGCTTTATGTTTTTAACATTCACATTAAGGTCTTTGATTCATCTGGAGCCCATCTTTTTTTGGGTGGGATGCCAGGGATTAAACTCAGACCTTTCACTTACAAGGCAGGCACAGCACCACTGAGCTAAATCCCAGGCCCTGGAGCCCAACTTCTACATAGTTTAAAGTAAAAGTCCTTTCTTAAAAATTTAGGAATTAATTTTCCTGTCACTCTCTGAAAAGCAGTCTTACAAGGGCTTTGTAATTTCACCTTTATCACATACTGTTTCCATGTATATACTTTATTCCTAAGCCCTCCACTTAATTCCATTGGTCTTTTTCTTTGTTAAATACCAGCAACATGTTTTTATTAGTGTGGCTTGATGGTAGAGCCAGTTCTACCAGTAGGGCAGGCACCTTTGTTTTGCTGCTCAAAATAGACTTTCATAGACCTTTATTCTTTCATATTCATACTGGGATTTCACTGAAATGCCTAGATTAGTTGGGAGAGAAATGACATCTTTGCATAGAACACTCCTTCCCCAGAATTCAGGGTGGCTGGCTTCCTTTGCCTCTGCTAGAATGTTAGAGAAGCTTTCCCTGACCTTCTGAAATTAGCACACTCACTCCCTGCCACTCTGTTCTCTCTTTTTCTTATTAATTTTTTTCATAGCATTTATTCTAGTTTTATTTGTTCACTGCTACATGAGATCCATGAGGGCAGGTGCTTTATTTTGCTCTGTGCTGTATCCCTAGCACCCAAAAGACTAACTGTCCCATATTTTGTTTTGTTCTTTGTTTTTGTTTTTTGGTACCAGGGATTGAACTCAGGACCTTGAGCTTGCAAAGCAGGTGGCAAAACCACTGAGCTAAATCCTCAGCCCTGTTTTGTTTTTTAATTTTTTATAACAAAATATTTATTGGTACATTTTAGGCATACATAATAACAATTATTGTAGAGAATTTACACCTGTACATAATCCCTCTTCTCCCCCCACAGAAAGACCATGACAAAAATCATTATTTAGTGGTTCCAAACTAAGTGTCCTTGGGCTCCCAAATGTGAGGGCAGGTCTGCAGCAGAGGATCTAGCACACTGTTTTGTTTTTTGAGACAGGGTCTCTCTGTAGTTCAGAATGGTCTTGATCTCACTAGGTAGCCTAGACTGATCTTGAACTTGCAGCAGTCTTTCTGCCGCAGCCTTCTGAGTGCTGGGATGACAGGTATGCACCACCTCACCTGGCTGGCACTCTATTTTTTAAACAAATAATATATTTAAAGTATTGAGGTCATTTTGATATTTATTCAGGTCAGGTCATTGCTTTTTTAGTTTTTGGGGTTCTTTTTCAGTCCTAGAGATTGAACCATGGTCCTTTGTACTAAGCTACATCCCCAGCCCTTTATTTATTTACTTACTTATTTAGAGGGAGGTTTGAGATAAAATCTGGCTATGTAGTTCAGACTGACCTTGAACCCACTATGTAGCATAGGCTGACCTCAGACTTTCAGCAATCCTCCTGCCTCAGCTTCCCAAGTGCTGGGATTATAGGCATGCGCCTCCATGCCTGGCCTGTTTTTTATTTTGAGACAAAGTCTTGCTGAGTTGCCCAGGCCTCCTGCCTCAGCCTCCCAGAGTGCTGGGATCATAGGCCTGTGCCATCCCGGTGGTTTATTCAGGTCTTCCTATGTTCCTGAAGACAGTTTAAATTTTTCCTTGATAAATTTCTTAGGCATTGCTTTTAGGTTAACTACTGTAGCCTAGCAGTCAGCAAACTATACTTGTGCATGTCGACCTGTCACCTGTTTTTATAAATAAAGTGAAATTGGAATGCATCCACATTCATTGAATTTTCTAATTAAGTTTATTGGTACATTTTGATATGCAATACAGTTACATTCATCATTGGGATCTTGTATCTTTACATGACTTATCTTGGTTCTTATTTTTCCCCATTCCCCAGCCCTCCTTTCACCCCCTCTACCCTTTCCTGTTTTACAAAGACATTGCGTGTTTTTCCTTTTCACATACTTTTCCTTGTCCTTTTTTTTTACCTTTCCTCTACCCTTCCCGCTTCCTCTACTCTTTTAGACCTTTTCTTCCTATTACACAAATCAATTATATATATTTTTTGTTTATTTGTTTGTTTGTTTTTGGTACTGGGGATCAAACTCGGGTCCTTGTGCTTGTGAGGCAGGCTGCTGAACCGCTGAGCTAAATCCCTGGCTCAATATCATTTATACATTTTGATCCTAATTTATACTTTTAGTTTTTCATAGATTGCATTTGAGTAGATATACCAGCAACCATATGATCTGCAAAATTGGAAATATTTACTCTTTAGCCATTTGTGGAAAAAGATTGCTCATCCCTGCAAAATACTAGTTTAGTTGGTAATACAGATAGGATTGGGAAGGGTTTGGTATTTTGGGTGTTTTGTTTGTTTGGCAACACTGGGAATTCAACACAGGGCCTTTGCACTGAACTGTATCCTCAGCCCTTTTTTCTTATTTTCAGACAGGGTCTCGCTGAATTGCCCACCCAGGTGGGACTCAAACTTGTGATCCTTTTGTCTCAGCCTCCCCAAATCCACATATTACAGGGATGCACCACCATGCCAGCCCCTTTATTACATTTTGTTTTCTTATTTTTTTCTACCCCTTCATTGTATTTTTAAGATGGCTATTCTTGTTACAGAATTGTATAAACAGGCATAGTGGTGCATGCCTATAATACCAGCACCCTGGGATGATGATACAGGAATATTGCAAATTTGAGTCCAGCCTGGGCAATTTAGCAACTTAGACCTTGTCTCAACATAATAATAATAATAATAAAAGGTCTGGAATGTAGCTAACTTAAAAGCCTTAGGTTCAAAAGATTGGGTTCAATTTCTAGTACAAAAACAAAAAAAGAACAGCTTGGGAATGTAGCTCAGTGATAGAATGCTTGCCTAGTATGCTATGATCCTAGCACTGAAAAAAACAAAACAAAATGTAAAGTTCATTGCTTCTCGGCCTTTTGGCTAAGATTAAGTGTAGTATCTGTTCTTATCAGTTTAATATCTGATACGTCCTCTATCCAAGGACAATATATTAAATGGGTTTTTGGAGCTGGGAGTTGGAATAGGAGCTTGCTCCATCCACTCCATGCATCAACCTGGTATTGCAGTACCTCCAGGAACGGTGCACACCTTCGGGGCATCACACTGGTTTTAAAAAACAGATTAAAGGCCAGGGATTCAGCTCAGTGGTGCTGCTGCCTGCCTCATAAGCACAAG